TCACTTGTAAATGAAGACAGAATCTGAGCAGCCTAAAGGAGAAAGGCTCATCTGTGAAAAGAAATCTGGAACCAGCACACTTAACATCAGCTGGATCATCATCTTCACTCCTCCCTTCCACCCTGAACTCCAGGAAGCAGGCAACACAACTCTCAGACTTCTCCATGGCAGGAGGGTGTGCACCTCTGACGACAGATGTCGGTCAACCACTTGGAAACCATTGCTTAAAATGCTTTCAGAAACAGGGAAAACGATTTAAAACCTGACCCATTGTGTGGCTGTGCACACAAGAACCTAGTCTTCCTGGCATCCACAGCAAGGGAAAAATGGTGGGAAAAAAACAAGGACAATAATTTCTATGAGGGTTTATCAGCACGTACAGTTAAGACACAGGAAAGATGATCAATTTGAAACAAACCAGAGCCCAAAACAACAGGGAGGTAGTGAACTGAAGGGCTGTTGCTTTAGGAAGACCTGGCAGATCCAGGTTTGGGAAGACAGGCTTAAACTACCTAAACCCGAAGAGAACAAACACAGGGCAAGCTCCTCCCATCCACTGGAGATGGAGGAGGAGAGAAATAATAAAGAGCTCCACATTCTTCCAGTGACCAAAGAGGCTTTTAAGCCTTTGGCTTGCAGTGTGTCAATGAAGGTCGATGTGATAATCCCAGAAGCACTCACCTGTCTATATAGTCAACAATATTGGGGTGCCTCATGCTCTTCAAGACTGACACCTCAGTTACAAGTCGTTCCATTGTGTTCTTTCTGTCTCGGAGAAAAATCTTCTTTATGGCCACCTAAAAGGAGATTGAAAGCCACAGGCTTGAGAAGTCTGTTGCCTGGGACCACAGCACACATGGAGCAGGGGGTTGTGGAATGCTGGAGCCCAGGTGGGCCAAACTGCCTGGGATTAGACACCAGAGCTTCTGAACTGACAGCACAAGAGACAATTCCTCCACTCGCTCTTGGCTGCCAGTTACAGGACACATGGCTATGGACACTTTGCCTTGTAAACTCTGGAAAAATGGTCTGCCAACAATCAATCCATAATGGGGGAATTCCCATCCTAAAAGGTCATAAAAGTTACACAAAGAAATACAATCCCTGAACTTTCTAACATCTTGAAGTTGGATTCTGCTACTCTAAAGAAGGTTTCTTCACCTAGTTCATATTGGTAATTATTTTCTGGGTTTGAAAAGGAATAACCCATTCCTGGGTATTTTATGGATGAGCCCAGGGTTATAAGCAGCACTCAGGCCCCTTCCCTGTATTCTTTTGGGCACTTAAGACCGACAGGGTCTAGTCCAAAGCATGTCTTGCAGGCTGACACTTGTGTGCCCTTCAGAGGAACAGTGTCTGCAGCAAAGATCTCCTGGCCACCCAAAGCTGCAGCCACAGCTGCCACCGGAGGGGGGAAAGCACAGAGAGCTGCAGAATCTGCCGTGGGAGCTGGCCCTTACCTGTCCTCCTGTGGCAATGTCAACTCCTTGAAAAACCACTCCAAAAAGCCTAGAAACAGAGCAGTGGAGAAAGGAGAAGAGGTTTAGGCCCTGGGAGTGAAAGCCAGCCCAGAGAGCAGATCTCTGTTGCCCACAATGTT